CTTCTCCCACTTCCTGTATGCAACTAGTGCCCTTCTAGCTGCTGCCTTGGTGATGGTTCCGAGTGGGTGGGTTTGCATACCTTCTAGGACCAAGCAGATCCTTTAAGAGGACTTCCTTTAGAAATTGGCTGTTTCTTCCACCACCCCAAGTCCCACTGGTTTTTTTCAGCCAGAAGTTGTGAGGCTTTATCTTCCCAGCATTGGAACCCTGGGCCACATGGTCTGGCCTGAGCCTGGGATTGTTCATTCCGCGGGATATCCCTCCCGATTTTTATCTACCATACATGAATGTGAGACCACCTGTTCTGCCCCCTCTCCATGCCCAACCACGTCCTCTCTGCCCCGGCTCCCTGTCTCCACCCTTCTTACCCATCTAGATGAGTGTGACTTCTTTAAGATGAGTGTGGCTTCTTTAAATCCTTGGTTGGCGGACTTCCATACAGTTCGATTTTCTGGCAGTTTTGGGTGTTTTTGTTTCAAGGTTACTTGTGATTCTTCTTGTGGTTGTACGAGGAGGCAAAATGTGTCTAACTACACCTCAATCTTGACTGGAAGTCTCCTCAAAAATAATGTTATCTGCAATTACTTATTAGGCAAGAATGGTCATATCAAAGTATTTTTCACTCACCTTCACAATTTTTTTATGCTTCTGAATACCTGTATAAATTGGAAATGTCTAAATCAGGTTCCAAACCATAATCTCAAGTATTGCCTTGAACACCTGTTTAAATACTGATGAAACTTGGTTCTGATGTGCAAAAGAATGTAAGGATACACACACACATGCACATACTCTTAAGAGGTTAAACAGTACCCTGTTAACCCTACCTATCTAACCATTTTCTAAAGTGCTGTCTATTGATGTTACTGAATTTTAACTAACACATAATCCATTTCAATGGATTGTTCTATTGCAGGGTCTCTCGCCAGTATATTAATTCCATTGTGAAAGAAATGCTTGTAAAACATGGAATTCTTTCTCATAAGAAAACACTAAACAAATATAAAACTAGACTGGGTTGAAATTTTAGTCATTTTAAAGATTTCTAATATATCTGTTCTTATGGCATTGGGTTGCCTTTTTCAATATTTAAGTTCTCAAACACAACTTCAAAAAGAAGTGTTAGGACTAGTGAAGCCACACATCAAATTATAAAAAATTTATCCCCATAAAACACCAGAATATTTTAAGAAATTAAGCTGTTATAGCATATAAAAACATATATCACTTCCTATTACACTATTTAAAACAAACAATGGCAACATACCCTGGTTCATTGGCCTCTATTTTGGAAAGTGCTTGCCCCAAATTTTTATGTTTTAATTAGCTTAAGGCACTTACTTTATTTTCTAATCTTTTTCCAAAGAAAAACAATAAGTCAAGACGTTTTTAAAAAAATCAGCAGTATTATTTTTAATACAGATGTGGTATGTACTATTTAATTACAGCAGGGCAGAAATTCTAGTTAAATAAAATTAAAAACCTTTATTTTCCCCATATAAAATCACTAAATTAATGTCTCAAAAGAAAATATAACATTGTGAAAGTTTTAAACCACACCATTATTCACCACAGGATTTATGATTTATCAATTACATACTCCATCACTTTGGCAAAAGGATGAACCTTTTATAACAAATCATAAACTTAACATAGCAAAGACTGTGTATATTGGGTTTGCCATAAAGTCCACTTAGTTTTTTCCGTATAATAAAAGACACATTTTTCATTTCACCAATAACTTTATTGATTTGGATATTTTAAGTATGTCAGCTACCTCTCATGTGGTAGAACACTGATTGTTCTCAATGTCTCAGTTTAATTGCTATCAACTTCAACTAGTGTACCTGACCACACAGTACCATCCAGTGAGAAATCTCTAACATGAAACTTTGCAAAACAGTTTTGACACATTCAATTAGTCACAGCACCTTCTCCATACACTGCACAAATCCTTTTTTTGTGTTTCAGTTGTATTTTTACCTTTCTTGAAATAATAAAACATAACATGTTGAAAATGTTGCGTATTTTCTTCCATCTTCAATATAAAAATGGCTACACAAAAATTCCCCAATTTTGATGTTTTTTTAGAATGCATGCTTACATGACAGCTGTCATAATACAATGTAACAAAATTGTTATGAATGAAGTTAAAGATAACTAAGCGCTACTAGAGCCATTTTATGGAAAAAAACCAAGTGAACTTTTTAGCCAATCCAGCATCTCCATATTGCACTTTTTTATGTACAAAACAGTAAAGTCAAGCGTCCTGTATATACTAAGAACAGCACAAATTTGTCACAATTAAACTTAAGAGGCTGATATGAGGAATATTGAAAATGTAGAAATGTAACACATGTATGTACAGAATGCCAAGATTGTATCAACAAACTTTATGTACCTAACAATATACAGTAATACTTTATAAACTTTTTAGTATAGTTGTGTTTATTAATACATGTCTTTGGTTCTAAATCAAGACTTTCTTTTTTTAAAAAAAGACACCTAAAGATACAAAAAAGACTTTTTGTAAATTTACTTTGTGAATTGTCTTCCTGACAAACTCAGCACTAAATCACAACTAAATCTTAGTACTTAGATTCACCAAGCCCTTTGACAATTCATATATTGAAAAGTAATATAAAATATAAAAGGAGAATGGAAATGCTTTAAGGAATAACCAGTTTTGATATTAATATTTTCTTGGCTGTTCTATTGCACTTTAATAATTTTCTTTGAAACTGTAGATAAATGACTTCAATATTTTTTGTGTATTTTATTGATTATGCTATTACAGTTGTCCCAATTTTTTTCTCCCCTTTATACCCCTCCTCCCTGTATCCCCCCTGACCCTTAGTTCACGTCCATGGGTTGTACATATAAGTTTCTTGGCTACTCCATTTCCTATACTACTCTTAACCTCCCCCTGTCTATTTTGTATCCCCATTCTCCCTCTCACTTTCTCCACTGATAACCCTCCATGTGATCTCCATTTTTATGATTCTATTCCTGTTCTAGTTGTGTGCTTACTTTTTGTTTTTGATTTTTAGGTTCAATTGTTGATAGTTGTGAGTTTGTTGTCATTTTACTGTTTATAGTTTTGATCTTCTCCTATTTCTTAGATAAGTCTCTTTAACATTTCATATAATAAGGGCTTGGTGATGATGAACTCCTTTAACTTTTCCTTACCTGTGAAGCACTTTATCTGCCCTTCCATCCTAAATGATAGCTTTGCTGTATAGAGTAATCTTGGATGTAGGTCCTTGCCTTTCAAGACTTTGAATACTTCTTCCAGCCCCTTCTTGTCTGCAAGGTTTCTTTAGAGAAATCACCTGAGAGTCTTATTGGAACTCCTTTGTAGGTAACTGTCTCCTTTTCTCTGGCTGCTTTTAAGATTCTCTCATCTTTAATTTTGGGTAACTTAATTATGATGTGTCTTGGTGTGTTCCTCCCTGGGTCCAATTTCTTAGGGACTTTCTGAGCTTCCTGGACTTCCTGGAAGTCTTTTTCCTTTGCCAGATTGGAGAAATTTTCCTTCATTATTTTTTCAAATGAATTTTCAATTTCTTGCTCTTCCCCTTCTCCTTCTGGCACCCCTATCATTCAGATATTGGTACGTTTAAAGTTGTTCCAGAGGTTCCTAAACCTCCCTTCATTTTTTCTGAATTCTTGTTTCTTTATTCTCTTCTAGTTGAATGTTCATTTCTTCCCTTTCTTCCAAATCGTTGATTTGAGCCCTGGTTTTCTTCCCTTCACTGTTGGTTTCCTATGTATTTTCCTTTATTTAACTTTGTACAGCCTTCATTTCTTCCTTCATTCTGTGACTGAGCTCAATCAATTCTGTGAGCACCCTGATTACCAGTGTTTTGAACCTTACCTACATCTGATAGGTTGGCTATCTCCCCTTGCTCAGTTCTTTTTCTAGAGTTTTGATCTGTTCTTTCATTTGGGCTGTATTTCTTTGCCTCTGGGCAGCTGTTACATTGTAAGGGGCATAGCCTTAGGTATTCCCCAGGGCTGGGCAACCCTCTTGGCTGTGTTGTTGTGCTCTCTGTGGGGGAGGAGTCAGATGGAACAATGCCTCTTGCTTGGCTTTTGCCCACTTTCTGTCACTTCCCACCAGTGTATTGTGCCCTTTCAGGTGCTGATTCCCAGGTAGGTGTGTTTGTGTACTTTCTAGGACCTCATGGGACTCTCCAATGGACTCTCCTGTGAGACTGGGAGTTTCTCCCGCTGACACAACTGCCACAGATTTTTACAGCCAGGGATTTTGTCTTTAGTTTTCTGCACTGAAACCCCGGGTTTTGAGGTCCCTCTCGCTCCCCCATTGTTCTTCCCCGTTTATCCATAAGCAAATGTGGGATTGCCCGCCCCAGTTCTCCAGCCGCTGCCTTGTCTGGCATCCTTTTCTGCCCCTGTCTCCATTTTACCTACCCAGTCTGGGTGACTGTTTCTCTAACTCCTCGGTTGTTGGACTTCCATGCAGTTTGATTTTGGGCAGTTCTGGTTGATTTTTGTTTTTAAATTGGTTGTTATCCTACTTTTGGTTGTGCAAGGAGCTAAAGGGTCTCTGCCTACACCTCCATCATGGCCAGATCTCTCCTGACTTCAATATTCTCATGAAATTAACATTTAAATAAACTCATTCAGCCAGATTATTTTATGCTTATTTGTAATGACTTTCTCAATTATTAGCTTAAATTGAAATGTTTCTGTTCACAAAATGAGAATAATTTGTCTCTAATACATAAAGTACTCATTTTTGTAACTCAAATGAAGATAAAGTCACTTCTCACAAAATAAATAATAACTTAACAGAATTAACTTTCCTCTATTGGCACTAGATGCTTGATTATCAAAGATCTACACAATAGAGCACTAAATTTTGTAATTAATTGAGAATGATCCAAAATTTCTAGTAGTAAATATAATTTTAGCCAAAAATGAAGACAAAAGTAATGACAATTTTGGAACACTTCTACTCACAAATGACTAGGTCTTATTTACATTTATGGAAAGCATTTAATTGCATAAAACTTATAGGGGAAAATGGCCATATTTGAAAACAGCCACAAGGATCAAAGTAGAACAAAGGATGGTAATAAGCAGAGTCACAGAACATACCAAAGGGGTATGTATAGTCAGTCCCACTGGAACCTGTAGAGTCATATTCTTATATACCTATAGAGAGAGATGAAGAGAGAAGTTAGAGGCATTTAAAATGCATGCTATAAGTGAGATCACTATTTCTTTGTTTTTAATATTTTTAAAAAATATCAGCCAATGCTACACTATATGTAACATTATTGTTTGAATGATTTTTTTGAACATTTTATTTAATGTAATAAAAACAGACTCATTTCCCACAATAATTCTTAAACTCTCATTAGTTTTGACTTTTTCTATCTTTTACATAGAATTGAGTATATCCTTTTTTTAAAAATGCAAGCTACATCCCAAGGTCACCTCTGTGATCTATGTAATTTGTTTTATATTAAATTACAGAATTCTAAGTTGAAGCCTTAAAGGAAAAATATTAAAACAATAAAACTAAATATTCATTCATTTTTGTTTTGCTGTTTCTCTCCCTAAATAGCTTATAAAAGTTTGCTGTTTAAAAATTATACAATTGAATGTGTCCTTTACTGTTAACACAGTATCAAATTAGCTGTGATAACGACTAGCAATGCAAAAGTGCTCCTATGTCAAATTTAATTTCTATTTGGTTTCAAATATAAAAGGTTCAGTTGGAAACTTTGGGAAATTTTATGGTTTAAAAAGGCATTTTAAAAACATCAAAATTAGGTAATTTGGAAATATTTTTATTTTTGGCTTCTTTTTATAAATACCTGGATTATAATTTCACATCCAAAAAAGATTATGTTACCAACACGATTGGTAACAAAGTGCTATTTCAAAATTATCTTTCAAAAGGTGGCATCTTAAACAAGCCTTGATCTAGATTACCACCTTAGTAATGGTCGCCTATTTTCTGCGATATATAAACAAGAAATGTAACACAAAGTAAATTTAAAAAACCAAACTGCTTTTTAAAAATGACTTTATTTGTTTTTAGAGAGAGGGTAAGGGAGGGAGAAAAAGAGGGAGAGAAATATCAATCGGTTGCTTCTCAGATGTGAACCAAACCTGCAATCCAGGCATGCGCCCTACCTAGGGATTGAACCAGTGACCTTTCACTTTGCAGGACGATGCCCACCAAGCCACACAGGTCAGGGCTAAAAAAATCAAACTGCTTGATTATGACTTCTTATTTCAAGTTACATGGTTTTAAAGGGAATTGAATTTAAAATGTTTTAACAGGGTAATTACTTATTTTATAGCAATGCCCATCACCAATTTTTAAAATCAATAAATCATAAATAAACACTAACATACTCTTCATTCACATAAGAAAATCTAATGCAATTCTCCAGATGTATTTTAGAATTTGAAAAAATTCAGGTAACTTGATATTGTGATTTATAGAAGATATACACATTTGGTTTCCATTCCCCTTTCTTGCTCAAAGCTCCCCACACTGTTGGAATTTTCTAAGTGCTGAGAGCGACCATGGTGTCTTTTGTGATGATGATGTAACTTTTGGAAAACACCTAAGGATGAGGGCTGGTTGCCAATGGGGCCAACCGTGTGATAAGGGAGTTGGAACTCCCAGTCCCACCCCCTGACCACCAGGAAAAGGAGAGGGGCTGTAGGTGTTGTGAAGACAATCACTTTGAAGAGAGGAAAGAAGTAGACTACATTAACTAAAGAAGGTAAAAAGAAAACTATAGACTTCTTAGACAAAACCAGTGTCAATGAAGTATTAATACTTACATAATTTAATAACCAAAAACAAGTTGGGAGGTCAAAAATATAAAAATGGCCTGAGACAGCCTAGATATACATATAGAATAGCACCCTAGCCAGTGTGGCTCAGTTGGTTGCCCATCATCCCGCAAACAGAAGAGTCACTGGTTAGGGCACATGCCTAGGTTTCCAGTTCAGTCCCCAGTTGGGGAATGTAAGGAGGGCAACCAATCAGTGTTTCTCTCCCTCTCTATCTCCCTCCCTTCCCCTCTCTGAAAAAAATAAAATAAAATAGATATATAATAGTAATACAGCCGTCTAAAAATTATCATGGTTGAAATTATTATACTTTAAGTTTTATTCTCCTTTTTTCACTTGGTCTGTGTAATACAATGAAATTAACTAATTTATTTTGCTGTTCAAAAAATTAATAAAAAGTTATAAATAAACTGAAGTTTTAACCAGAGGAATACCACTATTTTTCTTAGCCATTCCACACCTTTAAAAAGCCTATCAGCTCTACTTAAGATCTGGACCAATGAGGCATGGGATTAACACTAAATTACCAGCCCTCAAAGTAAATGATCCAATGACTCTATATAAAGGATAAACCACTGTTGCCATCAGTAGCAAAGAAACAACATTAACAACAAACAAAAAAAAAAACTCCAGCTTTCTGTGGTAGAACATAAAATTCTAATCCCTTAAATGTGGCAGATTATAGAAAGAATTTTAGATGAGGCAACATGATCTAAAAACATAAAATATTAACTTACTGATTTATATTTCATATTGTCCCATTGGCAAATATCCTTATTCTTCAAAGCACAAGGAGCTGTCACTTTTGACTGAGACCAGCATTTCAAAATTGGAAACTCTGAGAAAAGTGGTAGAAGATGATATCAGAAAACCTGTATCTAGACTAGAGGCTAGGCCAAGCCAATCTGTCATGCTGGTAAATTAGTATTCAAATATTTTACTACACAGTGTACACAATTTGGATCCATCTATTACATGCTGTTTTATTTTAATAGCCTGTTCTAAGTGAATGCCTAAGAAATTATAAAATTACAAAGGCAGTGCCTGACTTCTTAACATGGCCCATGAAACTAGGGGCCACTTTAAATCTTTTTAATTTAAACTATTTTTTGAAGTAAGTATAGCATATATTTAGAACAGTGCACAGAACCTAAGCATACGAGCCAATAAATTTCCAAGAGTAAACATACCCATATAAAAAGCACTCAGGCCAAAAAAACAAAACAATACCAGAACCCCAAATGCTCTCTCAGGAGGGGACATTTTTTCAAACTTTACTTAGGATAAGTCAAAGGTACTTATCCTGGCCAGGTAGCTCAGTTGGTTAGAGCATCTTCCTGATAAACTATGGTTGTGGGTTTGATCTCCGGTCAGGGTGCATACAAACAGCAGCCAATAAACACATAAATAAGTGGAACAACAAATCGAAGTTTTTCTCTCTCTCTCTCTCAGCCTTCTTCTCTCTCTCTCTAAAATCAATCAATAATTTTTTTTATAAAGGTACCACTTATAAAAACAGAATACTAGGTAGAAGGAACAAAGCTAACATAGTTGAACACTTTTTTATTTTCTCATCATGAAATATATGATGGCAGCAAATGTATGGATTAAAAACTTCCTATCTGCCAGTCTTTATTAATCATGCTAGTGACTTATGCAAACATTCTAATCAGCCGAGATTTGAAGACACAAAGAACCAAAATCTAAAAGGAGTTTCTTAAAGTCTTAATTCTAAGAAAACTAAAAATGGTGAAAGCATAGTTGTTGTTTTTTTAATTTACTCAAATCTAGACACACACAAAACAATTATACACAGAACCAAAAACTCCTGGACTACATTTATAGCAAAACTAAGTGATAAAATACCCTCTCAAACACCAACAACAGCTACAAGTCCAGTAATACCAGTACAAATAAACAGAAAGCAGCCAAGGGGCAATGAAGATCAATGTCTGAAAACAGAAACACACCAGACATTATATATCGACTCATAAAAGAACACAGCACTACCCATAGTCTTGCCAAAAGAAGTAAACCTGAATCTGATCACACTTCTGGAACCAGATGCTAATTTCCAGGAAATAGAGGTTACATGAACTACATGAGTACTGTCACCAAAACCCAAACTCTGAGAAAACTTTTTATTTTTTTAAAATTTATTTATTTTTTCAAATACATTTGTCTCTGCCTTCCCCCCAGAGAAAGCTTTTTAAATGGGCAAGACTTAATTAGTGTCTAACAATGCCCTTTTGGGTGATAAAAGTAAAAAGAATATAAGGAAGTGATTAAATGTCAGGATAGTGGGTTTAGTCTTAAAAGAAAGGAAGAGGCTGCGATGGAGACAGGATACATGGAGCTGTTGCTAAGGGGGCTTGCAAAGTTCTGTTTCTTGACCTGGGTGGTAATTAAAGGATATTTGTCTTATTATAATTCACTAAACTATATATTTGTGAAGTTTTTTTATACTGTGCTTTATTTTATAATCAAAAAGTTAAAAACATGCTTTGTTATCCCTTGACTTCAGACTTGCCAACATAACTTTATTTTTATTTTCAACTCTCAGAATAGATGTGCAACCCTCACCTTGGTCACAATACATCAATAAATCAGGGTTATTGACTACAATAAAGGTTTCTCCATCTTTAGTATGTGGCCGATGATAGCGGTAGTGCACAGGCAAAAGAGCTTGGAAACAATCAATGCACTGTGAATCTTGTCTGGCATAAATGAGAACTTCAGATTCTTCAGATAAATAGTTGGGAGCTTCTATATTAAAATTTTCTGAAACCATCACTGCCTGTCGAAAAGAATATAAATATTAATCCAAGGGAAAAAAATGAATAAGGAAGATTTAAAAAACAAAAATTAAAACCAGAAGACTGCTATACAGGTGAACAGAAATGTCAACTTCATCCCCCTTATAAACAATTCCATTGCCTTTCCATCTTCAACTTTAAGAAAACACAAGACATAATGATCTGTGTTTAATAAAAGTTTGCTCACTAAAAGTAAACTGAGGAAATTATACTGAGATGCAAAATTTTTCCCTAAAAAAAATTATTTCTATGTAATTTCCTATTCAATCTTTGTTTAGGCAATAAAGTAGCTACTAAGAAAATTTTTGTGACTAAATATAGCATAATTGGATAAGTATGAAGACTATTATAAAAAAAAGTTAACCCAGTATTAGGTTAAAATGATTGGTATCATTCTAATAATTTCCAGTTCTTCAGGGAAGCAGGTAAGATCGTAGTGAGATAAAGCACTGTGGTCAGAAGTCAAAGCAAAGGTCAGCACTCTTTCTATACTGGGTATAAAAAGGTAATGGAAAAAAATGGTAATAATTTCTAAAAAAAGGTAAAAACCATTTTAAAATAAGTATTCTACAGCAAAAGTAAAAATGCACATGTGGCAGAAATTAGTCCTATATTATAATATGCACATGTTTGTGTATTTGTATGTATCCATATGTGCACACATATTGATATATTAAAAACACATATATACAAGTATATAGGCATTATATACACAATATCTGTGTGTGTGTTTGTGTTTGGATGTATTCACACATACAACTTCTCTATAGGTTCTCTATGCAAAGCCCTAACATATCTCAGAGAAAAAAAGCAGCATTAACTTCTTCCTATCACAGCAAGAATGCTAATTCTCCTGGTTGACAATGACACCAACTGCTATATTTTTTTCGCACATTGAACTCAGTGGAAAAGGTCAAGGGATTATATAATCTGATGAGTCATAAGGAAACTCAGAGGTGATTAAATTAAACCTCTGTCCCAATAAGGACATTTTTCAAGTATCCAGCCACTGCTTGATTACTTTTAATGATGAGTCATTTCATCTTATCTATTGTTAAAATGTTATTCTTTTTCTGATGAGTAGAAACTTGATGCTCTGGCCTGTAACATTCACCAATTGTCATTGCTTATAATAGCTGCAATAAATCTATTCCTCATTTCACTAAGGGTCCTCAAACATCAAAAGTCCTCAATCACGCTGCTTCCACTATGTTTTTTCCTACTCAAAGACATACTCAGTTCTCTCTACTTCTAATGACAAGGCTTCCAAACCATTCATCATATTGGTTGACTTTGGAAATACTCAGGGACAATACAGTATTACCTTCTGCAGCCAAAAATCACATTAGCTTTGTAGCAGCCCTATTTCAGTGTGGTATCTAGCTAGCTAGCTATAGATATTCTTAAAAAGTAGACTTTATTTTATTTATCCTTATATTTTAAGAGCAGTTTTAGGCTTACAGAAAAAATGAGCAGAAAATACAGAATCCACATATATCCTACTCACCCTCCACACACAGTCATGCAATTTTCACACAATGAGTGTAGGATAGCAATTTGCAACTCATGTGCCAGAAGAATTCCTAAAACATGCAATACCTGACTATTTAGTCAGGGGCACTGGCCTCTTTTCCCTTAGATTGTCAAATAAAAAAAAACACAACAGCCAACACAACAAGAGCTGTCCTGTGTCAATGAATCAAAATTATACCTATTTTTTGTCAGACTGGCAAAAAATTTAATATATTCTTTGGTGTGCCGCAGAACTTTACTAATTAGTTTTTGAGTGCCACTGGTGGTGTAGTACACTTGTTACAACTGATAAGCCAATATTGATATATAATTATTAACTAACTAAAGTCCATAGTTTTAAAGTTAGGGTTCACTCTTTATTTTGTATAGTCTATGGATTTTGACAAATATAAAATGACACATATCCACCATTACAGTATCATACAAAATAGTTTCAGTGACCCTATGCTCCACCTAATCATCCCTATATTTTTTATTTGAACTTTTTGCAGGAAACATTAGTTAAGTTCTACCCTGCTTTTTCAAGTAATTAACTTTTAATTAACTAAATGCAGGGCTTTATATTTATCTCTATTAAATTTTCTTTTTGACGACAGTCCATTTTTTTCTAGACTGTTGAGACTTAACTGAAATCCCAATATGTTAATCAACATTTATCTAACATTTATGAATTTGGTAACTATGTCTTCTGTATTTTTACTTAAGGATAAAAATGTTGACCAAGGAAGGCCAAGAGCAAATTCTTAAGGAGTATTACTAGAGACCCTCTGCTAGAAATTTTTTAATGAACTCTTTTGGGTACGACAAGACACAAATCAAAATAACACAACCCAAATTTTTCTATCTTGTCAACAAAGACATATATATGAGCTGATATTAATAAAGGTCCCTTTCTTTGAGTACTTACTATTGCCCAGTATTTCACAAAGTGGTTTAAATACATTATTTCCTTTAACTTTCACAAGAATTTTATCAGGTAGAAATGATTAACTCCATTTTTTGTGTGTTACATGCTGTTGAATTGGCTTCAACTCCTGCTGACCGTCTAAGTGAGTGATTTTCACAATGTCCTGTCCTCAACAGCCCTGCTCAGCTCCTGTACAGTCATGCATATGGCTTCTGTTATGGAGTCAATCCATTTGATATTTACCCTTTCTCTTTTCCTGCTGCCTTCTACTCTCCCCAGTATTACTGCCTTTACCAAAGAACTCTGTCTTCTCTTCTCATAATGTGCCCAAAGTAGGGCAGTCTCAGTTTTGTCATTTTTGCCTCCAGCAATGATTCAGGCTTAATTTGCAATAGACCCACTTGTTTTATCTTTCTGGCAGTCCAGGGTATCTGTAGAGTTCTCCTCCAACGCTATATATCTCAAATAAATCACTTTTTTTCCTATCAGTCTTTGTCATTGTCCAATTTTTTGCATCTGTACATAGTAATTGGGAATACAAGGGTATGGATGATCTTAGCCATGGTCTCTAATAATGTATCTTTGCTCTTGGTGATCTTTCCTAATTCTTCCATTGCCACCAAGACTTTTCTTGATTTCTTTCTCTCTTTTTTTTTTTGTTTAATCTCACAGGAGACAGGCTTACTGATTTTAGAGAGAAGAAGAAAGGAGAGGAACATCAATGTGACAGAGAGACATCAATTAGTTGCTTCTTGTATTCAACCTGACAGGGGACGGAACTCGCAACCTAGATAATGTGCCCCGAACAGGAATCGATTTCACAACCTTTGGGTTAACTGGATGATGCTCCAACCAACTGAGCCACACCATCCAGGGCTTCTTTTGATTTCTCTTTATTTTCTTGATTTAATCTTTATTATATGTTTTCCATTACCATTTAGTCCCTTATACTTCCCTCCCCCTGGTAATCACTACACTGTTGTCCACGTCCATGAGTCCTTTTTGTTCAATTCCTCTACCCCCTAATCTCAACACTGCCCCCCTCCCCAACTCATCTAATCTCCATCTATGAGTCTGTCCCTGTTTTGCTTGTTAGTGCAGTTTGTTCATTAGATTTCACATGAGTGAAATCATATGGTATTTGTCTTTCTCTTACCGGCTTATTTCACTTAGCCAGGTTCACCCAAGCTGTAGCAAAAGGTAAAGCTTTATTTTTTTAAATGGTCGCGTAGTATTCCATTGTGTAAATGTCCCATAGTTGTTTTGTCCACTCCTCTATGGATGGACACTTGGACTGCTTCCATATCTTGGCGATTGTGGATAATGCTGCAATGAACATAGGGGTACTTATGTTCTTTCAAAATAGTGTTTTGGGTTCCTTCAGATATATTCCCAGGAATGGAATCTCTGGGTCAAAAAGGCAGATCCAACTTTAATTTTTTGAGTTACTGTCATACTGCCTTCCACAGTGGCTGCACCAGTCTGAATTCCAAACAACAGTACAAAAAGGTTCCCTTTTCTCCATATCCTCGCCTGCACTTGTTGTTTGTTGATTTATTGATAACCATTCTGGCAGGTGTGAGATGGCATCTCACTGTGGTTTCAATTTGCATTTCTCTGATGGATAGTGATGTTGAGCATCTTCTCATATGTCTGTTGGCCATCTGTATGTCCTCTTTCGAGAAATGTCTATTTGGGTCCTTTGCCCATTTTTTAACTGGGTTGTTTTCTGGGTGTTGAGTTTTGTATATACTTTGTAAATTTTGGATACTAACTCCTTACAAGAGGTATCAGAAAATATGTTCTCCCATTCTGTGGGATGTCTTTTTGTTGATGATTTCCTTTGCTGTGCTAAAATTTTTTAGTTTGATGTGGTCCCATTTTTTTTTTCTTGTTTTTTCTTGCATAGGGAGATATAGCCAATTAAAAAAAAAATTGTCAAGAGCAATGTCCAAGATTTTGCTGGCTATGTTTTCTTCTACAATTTTTATGTTTTCAGGTCTAACAATTAAGCTTTTGATTCATTTTGAATTTATTCTTGTGTGTGGTGTAAGAAGGTGGTCTAGTTTTATTTTTCTGCATGTATCTGTCCAATTTTTCCAACACCACATATTGAATAAACTGTCTTTAGCCCATTGTATGTGCTTGCTTCCTCTGTTGAATATCAATTGACTATAAAGGTATGGATTTATTTCTGGGCTCTCTATTCTGTTCCATTGATCTATATGCCTGTTTTTATGCCATTACCATGCTGTTTTGATTACTATAGCCTTGTTGTATAGTTTGATATTAGGTAGTGCGATTTCCTCAATTTTGTTCTTCTTTCTCAGAATTAGTGTTGTGATGAGGGAACTTTTGTGGTTCCATATAAATTTTTGAAGTATTTGTTCTAGTTCTGTGAAATACAGCGTTGCAATATTGATAGGAATTGGGTTGAATCTATAGATTACTTTGGATAGTATGGGCATTTTAATGACGTTAATTCTTCCTATCCATGAACACAGTATGTGCTCCCACTTATTTGTATCTTGTTCAATTTCT